TAATGATACTAAAATAACCCTACACATGTCATGTGATAAACATACATATAGCATACTACAGTATAGTATGTAACAAGTAGTATGCACTTTGTCACATACAGAATACTATGCTACTGTTTTTATTGTTTATGCATACTAGTAGTTAATAGTAGGCAGACAGCAGCATGCAGCTAATCTGCAGCTTTAGAGATCACTGCAGCATCTCTGCTGTGCAGGAATTTACTGACTTCACTCCCACTCACAATACCGTACCAGCCGGCAGCTGACATTACAGCACATCTACACACCCTCCTGCAGCTGATAATTATGGCTTTCTGAGATGTTTTCTTTAATAACACCAGTAATGTGACCTTCAGTTCCTAAGGCTAAAACTTAAAGCCTAAAGCTCACATGCAAACAAAGCATGAAACATTCTCAAAGGTCTCTGTTAGTCATCAAACCTTTATCCTTTAAGCGATTCTGCGTCTGGCAATTACCACCACAAACATGACTGCACTCATGCTTAACACTCATGCTTTGTAATGCCACGGTTTCCACACTTTTTTGATTAGGGTTTTAAAAACAATTTGTAGAAATTGTACTTAGAAGGCGTGGTTTTGAGCCAATTAAAAGTGTTAGAGCTAAATATATATAAGGGATAATGCACAGCTAGCCATGCATTATCCCTAACTTAATGCATACCTGCCAGCCAATCAGAATTGAGTATTCAGACAGACCATGGTATAAATAACTACAAACATGTATATTCAGATGCATTTTGCACGACTTTTTAAGATTTCATTAATTTCCATGATCTATCCAGGCTTGAAACACAATTTCATGATATTTCCATGAATAACACAAACTAGTTTTACACTACAGTACACATTAGTGGCCTCATATATGATGAGGGGCAGAAGACTAGACATAAAAACATGAAGCAACAAATTACATGTTCAGACCACATGAACTCTTTCAAAACTGTAAAAATCTTCAAATAAACAGGTTTGAATCTACAATTAGAAAATGCATCTTGAATCATCACTGGATACATAGACCTTTCCTGCAACATCTGATCGTTCACTTTAACCACAGCTGCAGAAACCTAGAAAATCTTTTCACTGCAAAAGAACAAAATTTATCATCTCTAACCCAGTCCACAAAAGGAAACAAAATAGAAACAGAAATGTGGGTAGTTGACATATAATGTGCTCATTTTTTAATCAAAATCAATATTTTAGGTTACAAAGATATTAAAGTGCTCAATATTTGTATGCCTTTCACCATTTTTAATCAGTGTTTATGCTTCTCTAGTTAATTTAGCATAGTCCTGTGGTATGACAAATGAATAAAAAAAAATCTTTCATTTTTATATTAGAAAATAAACCTATTTTAAATAAATGTGGTTCTTTTGAACTCTCTATTCATCAAAGACTCCTGAAAAATAAATGTTATAAACTATTAAGCAGCAAAAACCGTTTTCAACATTGATTATAACAAGAAATATTTATTGGGCAACAAATCAGGATATTAGAATGATTTCTGAAGGATCATGTGACACTGAAGACTGGAGTAATGCTGCTGAAAATTTTAA